GAGAGAGAGAGAGAGAGAGAGAGAGAGAGAGAGAGAGAGAGAGAGAGAGAGAGAGAGAGAGAGAGAGGGGGGGGGGGATTGAGGCGCCAATGCCGTACACATCGGAGCACTTCTTAGTCACTACACTCCTTCCCCGAAACTTTCCCCTATGTTTCCCCGATCTTTCCCCGACCAGTTCCTGACCTTTCCCCGACCTTTCCCCGATCTTTCCCCGACCTTTTCCTCACCTTTCCCCGACCTTTGCCCCACCTTTCCCCAACCTTCCCCTACTTTTCCGAGTATGTTACTTTTGTCAAGTAGCACGACAATCCTTCACCCATGTTCTCCCTCTACCTTTCTCCATCGTTCAGCTATGTTTTCCTCGATCTTTCGCCTATCTTTCGCAGATGTTTCAGCGATGTTTCATCGATCCTTCCCGATCTTTCCTCAAACCGATGTTTCAGCGATGTTTCATCGATCCTTCCCGATCTTTCCTCAAATTTTTCGCGATCGTCTTCGATCTTTGTCCAATCTACACTAGCAGGTACTCGGTAGTAGTACAGTCCTCTCACCCATAGTTCCCCTACCTTTCTTCGGTATTTCACCGAACTTTACCAGTCTTTCTGCGATATTGAAAAGTTCTGTCCGTCGATACTTCCTCTATCTCTTTCTCCGGCCGATCTTTCTCCCAACTTTGGTTTAGGCCCTAGGGCGTACTCACACTAGCACTCTCTTAAATGTGTCTGACCGCATTTACGGCCGCACCTGGATGCATCTGGCCGCAATTCCGTCCAGAAATTAGTAAACATGTCCTAGTGTGAGCATTCCCTTACAAACGGCTAATAGTAATTCAATTCAATCTTTCAACCAACTTTCTGTCCTCCAAACCCCCACGAGGAGCCATCACTTGTAAATTTTTTTTTTATTCATTACAAACAAAAAAACACAAGAAAAAAACCCGGTGGGAGGGATTGCTAGACCATCGCCGAATTTCGACGGACTCCTATTCCAAGATAATAGCCTTCTGCTGACAGCGTCAACTTTCGTCGACCTAATCGGAGTTCAGCGACTGGATCTTGCGAGACCATGCAACACGAATCTACGGACAAAAACTGCGGACGGGAGAGATTGTGATCTGTTGATTTGCCCAGATGGAGGAGTGACAGACTGGCGTTCGTGATTTGCGTGACAGAGGTCACTGAGACGTATGTTCTCTGAGGCTGCACTCATAGTACGACTTTTTGTACTCTGCTACGGCCATACTTGGCATCACATCATCCGTGTGGGGTCGTCATTACAACAATATGCATCCGCGAAGATGATGGATTTACTCTAAGAGTACGGAAGAATGGATCACAGGACGGGGGAAGACGGAAGAATGGATCACAGGACGGGGGAAGCCGGGGGTGAGACGGGGGAATACCGGGGGGAGACGGCAGGGCATGTGGAGGATGACGAGGAAGCGGAGGAGGAATCGCTGAGGAGGGCACGGCAGCCAAGTTCGCACGTGCCAGCAAAAGTGACACGTAGACACAATGACGTTGAGTCGATGAGACGGGAGAAATCCGGCGATGGCAGGGAAAAGGTGGCAGGAAGGCACAGAGGACGTAGATGGCAACTGGAGGCGATGACAACGACTCGGAGGAGGAAGAGAGCATGTGGAGGAGGAAGAGGGCGACGGCAGGGGGAAGGCCGCAGGAAGACATGGAGTATGCAGAGGGCAGGTGGAGGAGGAGGGCAGATGGACGAAGAGGGCAGATGGAGGAAGAGGGCAAATGGAGGAAGAGGGCAGGTGGAGGAAGGGGGCAGAGGGCAGATTGAGGAAGAGAGCAGGTGGAGGAAGCGGGCAGATGGAGGAAGAGGGCAAGTGGAGGAGGAAGACGGTGATGGGGTGAAACCGCAGAGGAGGAAGACGGCAGGTGGACGAAGAGGGCTGATTGAGGAAGAGGGATGCCGAAGAGGGCTGATTGAGGAAGAGGGAAAGGAGCGGGGGAAGAGGGGAGTAAGAGGGAGATGGCGGCCGCTTACCCGCACGTTTCGCATCGGGGACCTGTGGTCTGGGGCAGACGCTGTGGACTGGCTGCACACTGGAAGCCAGGGTCTCCACCTCCACACGACAGCAGTCTGTTCGAATTCGAACGGCTGTGGGTCCCAAACTTCGCGGTGCGACATTTCCAGCAAGCGGAGTTTCGACTGCATTGTAAACTTCGCAACTGACTGGGCTGCAGAAACGGTGTTTGGAATGCAATTTCAAACTAAAACCATGACAGCGCCCTAGTTTTCTCTTTTTGTTAATCCTTTGAAGGGGGTCAAAACCATGCCCTTGGAGTACTTGATTTTTTTAAATCTTTTGAAGAGCTGCCAATCAAAATGAGTCTTTCTATTTTCTCTTCCCGCCTCCCATTCTTGGGAACTGGAACAAGAAGCACAAAAAAGAAAAACAAACACCACTTCAGAATATAAATCCCTCGCAATTTTGCCGCCATCCGATTCTCCTGCATCAGTGGTCGGACGATGTCCCGCAGATGTTCCAAAGGTGTTTGTGGGACACAGTTTACCTTACTCCTTTGCTAGTGGAACCGTGCTCCAGAGGTGACTTCAAATTCCCTTGCCCCGGGGCATCCCAGGCCCCTGACAAATGGGCACCCGAATACTACACTTGGTATCTTGGCAAATCTGTGTGATCGGCCCTCTACCCTTTCTTTTGGGGAATTTGGGATTGTAGGTCCCAGTGTGAGTATCCCCTCACGAGGACCAAATGACCATAAATCCCAAAATTTGAGTCAGTTTTCGGGTCAGAATGGACGGTGACCCTTTTGTCAGCAGCCTGCGGGGCCACGGGAGGACCCTTTTTGAGACCACCTCCAGAGGTGGTCTCAAATCATTATGACCTTTCAATTCTTTTCCCCCATCTTACCATATTGCAAAAAATTGTAGTAGAAGAATTTCGAAACAGCCTGCCAAAAAAAGACAAAAAAGATCGCAATGCATCTATCTATGTTCTAGCTATCGATTCAGTCCCATTTTGCACATTTGGAGAGTAGTGCAGTGAGGCCGATGCATGTTGTTAAAAAAAAAGAAGGGGCAAGTACCTTGAAGTCACAGGTGCACTTACGAATGGGCAAAAACATCACTCCGTAGGCAGGTTTGTCAAGTCGGAGTGAGTAAAGGCAAGAAAAACAGCTGAAAGGCAACATCCTCGTCATCCAAGTTCAAATCGGCAAAAAAACACATCACTTCTTCTTTTTTTCGTTTTTTTTTTTCCGTTTTTTAAACTTTTTTTTTTTTTTTTT